TCCCATTCCTTCTATTTGTCCCAGTAATAGTAAGTTTCGAAATTGCATACCATATTCTTGTGGTTTTCTGCAGCTTCCTATCTACTCAACATCAAACGACAAGAAGAGTAAAAATGGGACCTGATCTATCAAAAAGGCGGTTATCGTTATGGTTACATGGATTTTTTTTTGCATAGACGTGTTCTCAGCAGTCTCCTCTTACTTCGGAATTCAAACTCTAAATATTTGTGCAGATCATTTGTTACTTAAAATTTTCTCACGCCAATTTTGGGGTTATCCTGAGTGGGGTCATTGCTGTCAAAAAACCCCAAATCTTTGCGCCTTTTTGATAGTAATAGATCAAGGGCCCAAATATGGAGATTGAACAATAATATACCCAACTATGAAGCTTATCCACATGCGAAAACCTAAACTGATAACATTTCTTCTAGTTTGCAAAAATAATAGTCTAAAGTAGCAGATAACTAGAATTCACAAATCACAATAATGGTTAACACTTGTGGGTTTGCATAAGTATGATCTGAGCGTGTCACATGCGATTTTCGGCATTTCAAGATTAGGGTTGACGGTAAATATGTCGGACAATTTAAGGCGTAAGGCGTTCAAATGATCTACCCCTCCAAAGTAGTAGGGGAAACGCGTGCCGTTTTATTTCAAATCTTTTTAACCATTAAAATATTTATGTTTATTTAAAGAATGCTTAAACAAATATTGTATTTTATACGAACGGAACTAATCGTTATCTTTATAACCCGAACTACCTCTTTTACTCCTCATAAACATCCGATAAGCTCAAATCTGATAATGGAGGTAACAGATGAGAATAATTTCTTGGTTTGGGCAGACCCTTAGTAGGTAAGAGCGTACTGGAATATTTACTCTCCTTCTCGAGGCGTGACAATGATGTTACATAGTTATGATATATAGTATTCCACATGCCATCAGAATAGCCTATTGCTATCTCGTTAAGGATATTGCTAATATCCTCACGAAGTGTGAATGCATCAGGACGCTTATCAGGATCAGCATCACAACACCGCTCGGCAAGTTTCTTGTATCCCTCTGGTGCAGAATCTGGCATCGATGGTCGTAGTCCATCCATAATGTCACATATTAAATTTCTGTCGAACTGCCGATTTCTAAAAGGCGGTTCACCAGTTGCAACCAAATACATAATGATACCAAAAGAATATATGTCTGACTTCTTCGTAAATTTGCAGGTATGAAAGACTTCCGGTGCAATAAAAGGTAAAACGCCTTGAATGGTTGACTTGCGTGAATTCACTGATCGAGACAGACCAAGGTCGCATATTAGTGGAGCATTGTAATTGTTCAAAACAATGTTTCCGCCATGAAGATCACAGTGCACTAATCCCGCAGTATGAATATGATACAGATAAAGTACAATATCGTACAAATGCTGTAATTTCATTCTCCACGTCAAATTGTTAATATTTCGATCCAAATAAGACAAAAGACTACCATTGTTAGCATATTGCATAACAATCATGTACTCTTTTGTTTCTGGGTTTTGTGTGACTCCATAGATTTTGAGGAATGAAGAATATAAATACTCATAATTCGTGCACTTGGCATGATTTCGGAACTATCAAATGAAAATAGATACAGTGTTAAATCAATGCCACTTTAATATTAAACATAAGCATACCAATTGTTGCTTACCTCTGAAATAAATAATTCCGGTGTTTCATCAAAACTCTTAAACCGTTTGAGTACAACAGTTTCTTCCATACCCACTACCTCTTTATAATTTCTATATTTGGCAGTATAAACTGATCCGTAACCGCCAGATCCGATCTCTTCAAGTTCATCAAAGTCATTATACTGCATGCGCTTTACATGTTCATTGCTTTGTATAAACCTGTCCAATATTGCATGCATGTCGTAGTAGAAAACCAAATAATATTCCCGAGTAGATGGATCCTGCGTGATCCCAATTATCCAAATATTCTCAGGGGTTAATATGTCTGGGTATTCCTCGATTAGCTATTTAATTTTAGTGTTAGCATGCGATACACGTTAATAATATTTACACGTGACATAATTTACCTGATAAAAATTATCACCGTTGTTAACTATCTTTTTGAGTGTCACGCGAGTCAATTCATCCGTTATCCAATCTGCTATATGTGTGCATCCACGGCGTAATGATGTCATTCCTTGTACGTTTGTCAAAAGAGAGTATTCAATCCATTGTATATACGCATCATTTGTATTACTTGTATTCTTCCATGATTCCATAATAAATAAATCCAATGACTTGTTGCCAGTAGTCCAATCAAGAGGCCGTGGTGCTTTACATTTATAACAGAATAAATTTATCTCGGGGCTTAATTGCTCTGTACATGCCAGACATAATCCATGCCCATTCCATTCTTTTATTAGATAATACTTCTGTCGCCATTTATCATATGTAGATCCGATGGTAACCCAAACATCCGTGGTAAGAATATCTGGATGCTTATCACATAACTAGTGGAATGATGCATAACAATAAATCAAACTATTCAATAAATATGACGCACAAGTAAATAGTTTACCTCGGCATAGTATGAATCATGTGTCTCGTCGTTTATCTCAAGTGGAATCAATTTAACATATGTACGATAAGGAGTAGGTAGACTATACAAACGCCCACGTCCACTTCCCAAATCATCAATACAATCGTATGGGATCCATTCCAAATAGGCTTGATTTGGTGAGTTTGTTTGTAATTGAGTTTTCTTGATAAACTCGTCGAGTCGTTTATTGTTGCTGGCCCATCCATCGGATAATTCTTTATGCCCGCAAATGCACCACACAGGGCTACACCGGAGAATTCCACATGCGGTGCAGAATTTGTAGAGTGAATAACAGTGGTAAAAGCGTTTCTTAGCGATCATGTAATAAGAGTTGTCATTAGACTTGGTAAACCCTTCTATCAGTTTGTTACGATTCTCAAGCCATCTGGAATATCTTCTATATTTATTGTCCTCATTATTATACTTGTGTGTCGGAAGTGAGTTTATTCTAGCAAACTCACTCACAAGTATCGGTGTACATTGTTCGCTACTTCCGAGGAATACCAGCGTTATCGGCCTTTTTTCCATTTTACCATATGGATATTCGAGAACATATTTGTGAATAGCATGATAGACATTGTCAATTTGAGTTGGTTCAATGTTGGTGATTTCCTCGTAAGGAATCCATTCAAGTCTTAATGATCCATCTTCACTTTCCAAGGAGGATTCAACCAAGTTGTCAATTGCTGGATTCTTAATAGTCACTGATGGTAACGACATGTTTGAATGAACAAAAAATTTCTTTTCAGATAGCGCTTCTCATCACTTATTGTATTATGTTACACGTGCGTGCCAATCGCAATTGTTGTAAACGTTTATTATTATATCGCCAGTGCATTTACACCTGAATATTTTATCTTTTGTTATGTTATGATTCAAAACGTTCATTCAATTAAAGAATACGGAACTGTCCATTTGATTATCGTGTGAGGTAAATCTTTCGATGTGCAGACTGCTGGACTTCCCATCATATTCACATTGTCGAAGGGGAAAGCTTACGATTCAAGTTATGCATAGCCAAACATTTCCCGTAAACCGATTTGAATACAACCATGATCTAAACATCGATTGAGAATCACAGTAGTAGCCATACAATAAACATGGTAATTGGGATTGGGAGAAAGTATTCCTGATCCAAAATTGAGCGTGTCGCATGTACGATTATTAGTACCCAGTAGTCTTTCCCAAATCGTTTAATTCTCGGGTCCAAGTGGCATTTCGGACAGGGGAGACAATTGTCACTAATAGATATAAAGGTTTGACTGTGAATATGTCAACTTTGAGACGGTTTAGTTTGTTGATCTTTCTAAGGAATGTGAAAACGTTGACAACGACAACGCATTATTCCAATTACTGTATACTCATTTTTTAATCTTTATTCACGTCCTCGTCCACGCCTTTCCGTTACAATTAGATTGCAACGACTATACACAAGTAACACTAATACTGTAATACCCAGCGTTGACAAGAAGCGTTCTGCTTCAAGAGGGTCATTGCGGCAGGGGACAATCCGCAATCGAAATTGTTTTAAATGCATTCTTGCGAATTATTTGCGAATTCAAAGTCTGGTTTGTCAATGCATGTTTGTGTTGCTTGAATACGTTACAAGTGGAATACATATGCTGATAGACTCTAACTACACAAAGGTTGAATTATCAGCACAGCTAATTGCTTTACGACGGAATGTGAGTGATCATGACTGTTTCGGTTTCTTTATTCAACGACAAAGTAATATTATGAATCAATTGAACGAGAATTCGTTTGCTATTGAAAATACGCTTCGTCTCATGACTCAATATGCCTTGTTCGAGTGCGGGCGAACCTCTTGGGCTGGGATTTGGCGACGGCCGTTTGATCACGCACGTAAGCCTGTGAATCGACGGATGATATAAGCTAGCGAAATCGGAAGAAAGGCAAGTGGATTTAAACACGTGCTAAGCTTCTACTTAGAAGCACAGAAGATAAGTTTGGAGACTGAATAGACTGATTCAGACGTTGGGGTGCCTTACTTATGAGATGGATTATGAAATTAGAGTAAACATTCATGCCGCAATTGCGGTATTTCTTTTGTCGAATTATGAATTTGTCTTGGTTACTTGTCTTTTGCTAGTCCTCTACGTCCTTCTCTATAGATCGAAATTGCTTGATAAAGACAGAGCACCCTATTCAAAACTCGGTTTTAAAAGTCTACGCGTTGGTCCTGGTCACATGGCATAACCGGACCAGTTATTTGTACGACTTCCAAAAATAGACAATCTTTCTAAATATTTCTGCAGCATGCGAAATGAGAACGTTTGTATTGTTATATCATCACTATTAAATATCAGTTTCATACGCGTGGTTTATCGGACTTGTTAACCAGCGAAAAATTTTTATTGCGTATATGATCTTTATGTAGTGAGTAATTTTATAATCTCTTTACGACTGGTGATATGAGATACAGTTTCGGATTGCAAATTCAGATGAAGCTGCTGGATGCTTACTTAATTCTTTTATGATATCGGGATACTCTAAGACGGATATGATTACAAACTCCATTAATTCAAATATTTCAATGAATTGGAAACGAAAGTTCCAACAAATTGGAAAAACCGCTGAGATTTCTTCTTCATCCTTATAATCCTCTTTCCCTCTTAAAGACAATGTTCTAAGCGTTAGTCGATCTCCTATAATACAATTTAAACATGTTACGAATAATAGCCTCTCTTTTTGATTCAAATAACAGCATACTAATAATAACAAAAAACTCACTTATTCCTTGAATCGTCAGCGAATGAATTTTTTCTGCGAATCTTATATCATAGTCCAAATAGTTTAGAAGCATCGAGTTTAAGGAATCAATTCGCTCTTGTATAGTCTTACATGTATCTCCAACTGGATGTGCCTTTAAGAAGTCTGTTGGAGCACCACTCATTTCCAAAAATACAACCTGCCGGCTATCCGAAAGTCGGACTCCAATTATATCTGCCTTCATTCGATCTTTGTTTGTGGTATTGCCTTCGAATCTAAGTCGTTCATGTGTTGGTTCAACATCATGTTCGATCCTACGGTTTACAATTAATATGTAGGTAGTTAACAATGAGGTTGCAAGTTAGAAAAAGAATTCACTTACCAGTGAAATTTAATACTGTTTATAAATGTTGCTTGCATGTAAGTGAAGAGCGGTGAAATTTTATTAACGATCCAATCTCTTTCAATTTCATCAATGGTCATTACGTGACCGGGAATATCAATTATTTTGTTTACACTAATAATCAACCAATATCACTGTTATACATACTAAATAGATATTGCACTTTAAAAAGAAAAAATAACTTACAAGTCCATAAGTACTTTTCCGATATACTTGATCATTGTTTCTTCAAATTCATTTGCAGGTGTATATTGATATGTCAAAATCTTAATTCGGACTTCTTCAATCGAAAACTGCAAAAACAATAGTCAACATAAATAATTATTCGGGCGGTTATCTATTATGAATGGGTAGCTTTTACTGACTTTCAGAATCGTTTCCAACCACTCACGCCAATTTAGAGCTATGAAAGGGTTTTGATCATTCGGATCATGCTTCTCTGAAACTTCTAATTCATCTTCGAAAGTAACATCAGCTCTTTGATCATTCTGATCATCTTCCTCTAAAGTTTCCAACCCATCTCCTAAAGTAACCTTGGTTTTTTGATCATCCTTTTCTGACCCTCCTGAATCCTTATCTCCGAAAGCAACAACCTTGACTTTTTTTGTAAAAGAAACTTGAGGGTACATTTTTTTCATCTCCGGTCGGATAATCGGTTTATTAGGTGTCGATGGATAATCTCGCTTGCGTTTCTGACCATGATGACGACAAGTTGTTAATAATAGATTTCAATAGTAATACAGATATTAGGAACATACTTACTGTGGAGTGAGAAAAAACATCACGATTATAACTTCTTTGAACATTATAGCATGCCATTACAGACATCGACGCGGTCTTTTCCGCGAGATACACGTTCCAGTCTTTATCAAAAACTCCATTCTGCATAAAGTAGATGTATGAATTCACAATAAACGAGATAAATTATGCATATCCACATTCTTACCTTCCATTTCTCCTGAATTTCCCGAAATAATATCATTCTCTCTTTGGGAATACGTTCCGATAATGTTAAAACAGATGAAATTGCACTAGTATATGCGCGAGTGGCAGCGATCTTCGTTTTACGATTCAGGTATCGATAAAATTCCAGTGGTTCGGGGTTAAACGAATGTAGCATCCATCGAATATTGGACTTATTTTTATCGGATAGCTTGACATACAGTACAATGAAAGTAAAATATAGACCATTTAGTCAAATGTGAGAATAGAAACCATTTTGATTACAGTGTAAGTAAGGTGTACTCTGGGGAAGGTCAGTGCGATCGAAATCTTACACGATGGGTTAGGGTAGTAACTTATTGACTAGACTGCCATCGCGCTTAACTAACCCCTTGCAAGACTGTGCGATCGAAATCTTACGCGATGGGTTATGGTAGTCATTTATTGACTAGCTGCCATTGCGCTTAACAGTCTGCAAGCTCAGAAAGTATATTGTAATGTACCACGACTTACGTTCGAAAAAGCGTTTACAAGTTCGTTTATAACGTTGTGATCCATCTTCGAACATAAGAAACAAGTTTCGTGTCCTGTTTATTCAGCAGCCCCGTGATCATGGCTACACAAAGCATAGACATTATCTCAACTAATATACAGTCGCCAAAGTTTCATCCATCAAGATTTCTCTGACCTATATTACTGAATTTCATTACTTCTCAACTATTACTATCACGGTTTAACATCATCTATTTCAACTATATAAGGCAATACGTTCTGGAGATACTGGTATGTTGCAATTGTGGTTGCTCCGTGAGAAGGACGCAGCTGAAAACAGTGAACGGTGGGTGGAGAAATAACTGCCAGCCGGTGTCTTAAAAGGGAAGCGCAATAATAAGAGAACTTTTTATTATTGAAGTATCTTTTATATCAATGCTTAATTGTACTTCGAAATAATTAGTTTCGTTGCTCTCCTCACGAGTTATTAATATGTTTCTTAGCCCATTCAACACGTTTTAGCTTGCGAGAGCAATTATCGTATGGAAACCTATGCCGTGTCTAACCTCAAGGATCTTGTAGACGATATTGTCCCCATTTCTGATGCATACTAATACGAATTTCCGCAGATGCGCTTTTGTATTGTTTTTTCCAAGTTGACATAATTATTTGCAAGGAGCATTAAACTTGTTAATGAATTCTCAATATACTGCAATAATATTGATGTTGTCACGACGCGATTAAGTCAATTGGTAAAAGAACACCACTTTAGTGTCATAGCTGGTTATGATATTGTAAAATGAATTAACGCAATTATAATGACACAAATAGATTTATCCTTTTGAATAGCGCGGCGGTATATCCACTTTAGCATTACTACTTGCGGCCACGCTTCTTGGGCGAGGCTTTGTGTTACGCCAAGAAGTGTCTGCTTTGCCAACAATACTAATACTATGGTTATCAAGGTTTTAAAATCTGCTGTTCACTTCCATGATTACAGAAAAGAATAGATGTTTTCGAAAATTTATTGGTTGTTTGAATACAACACTTGGGACGTTTTTATTGATCTCTTAATATTCAGAAGTGCGAAAACGTTGACAACGAACGGTTATTATAAGCTCTTATTGAATGTACCAATAAGCTGACAATATTTCCAAGGATTAAGTATAAAAGCGAATGCAAATTTGATGTGATACACATTTTTTCATGATTGAATGATACTTTAGTAAAATATACGAAACTATTTTTTCGAACACCTATATTGGCTGAATTATTTACTAGAAATTCTTGTATTGATATGAAGGTATGTGATTTAACTGCATACAACTATACCACTACTGACTGCAGTCAAATAGCTTCATACCAATACAAAAATTTCTGTTGTTTACTTAGTAGAGACAGCCAATAAAAAACCAGTTTTCTTATATTTTACTAATTGATCGACTCATTTACTGTACATATATGGAGGGTTCACTGTATAAACCAGAACAACAAGAACTCGTTTGCGAAATAAAACAGCAAGTTCGATAATACTTGATTCGTTGCGTTGGGACCACATGACTACAGCATACCCAGTTCGAAGAAGAAAAAGCTTTGTTATGTGAAAATAAATAAGTAAACAAATGTTTACTAGACCAACTGTAATCAAAACAACTAACTGCATGTCATTATGGCCGTTTCAAATTTGATATCAAAACTCGGTTTTCGTTCGAAAGTTGAAACAACTAGATTTATTACAGTTTCGAAGATTAACGTAACAAACAAGATAATTCATTACTATGCTGTAGAAAGACGAAATTTTCTACATTTTACACAGTAGTCTAAAAAAGACAAACGCCTAGTCAAAAAAAAACTTTGGCCCTAGCGCGATTTAGTCTTTACCATCAAACAGACGCCTGTTGGACAAGTACGGCGATATCATCAACGAGAGGACGAGGGCTGAAACTAAACTTGTCATTATCAATATTTTCAAACGATGCACTTGCTGAAAGAGTGGCAATAAACACCTCAATTGGTGAAGGGATCGGATCAATCTGATTCGCGTATCTGTGCCTGACTCCTTCATCTACGGTAAATTTCCATTTCGAGCCTTAAAACAAATTAACATAAGTTAACGATTGTTCAGCATGAACTTTCAAAGAGAAAGCAGCAAATGCAAAAAAAAAAAAAAAAGTTTTTTACCAGTAGCTTCTTCAAACAGTTTAAGTATCTCCTTTAGTGAGTATCTCGAACCGGCAACCTTAATACTTGCATTACGACATGCTTCCAATTTAAGAGATTCAGCAGCATATTTGCCGATATCTGACATACATGTAACAGCCACTGTGGTATCGGGATCCACATAGAATTTGGCAGTCTTATTTTTGACATCAAACCCACACCAGCCAAGATATTCTGCAAAGAGTCCACACGCAATACGGGTGTACTCAAGCCCACTTTGTTCAACCTTCTCACGGAATGCGGCTTTGGTATCGGTTAACGGATGATCACCAGGCCTTTCAGGAGATAATAAAAATGTAATTACAAAAAGAGCATAGTCGATAAAATAAAAGAGTAGATCAAATTATAAACTAAACTTACTTAGTCTCTACACCCCATTCAGATGGAATAAACCTTCTCACGCCGGCAGCCTTAGCAGCATTCAACAATGGCATTTGAAGAGCGTCAAAATCACTCTCATGTTTGGCTACTGCGGGAGATGCAGCACTGATTAGAGCATCGGTTCCGCTAAGAGCTTTGACAAGATCATCATGCTGATTATAATCGGCGTAGATAATTTCTGCACCCTTGGAGGCCAATAATTCGGCTTTCTCGTTTGCGGTTTTCGGCAGTCTTCGAAGAACTTTCACTTTAAAAGATCCATCGCTCAACAAGGCATCAACTATATGGAAACCCAAGCCTCCGGTGCCTCCTGCGACGGTTACGGTGGTGATTGGCGTGCTGCTCATGATAAATCAAGTATATCTATATCTGTTGCGTATATGTAAGTTATTTTGTTTCCAAGTCCGATACGCTCATTTTATACTTTTTTTTCCTTCCACAAGAAACGTTCTCACAAATCCAGTTTGGGTGGGCTTAATAATTCGGTCTCGCTAAACTATTTTACCGATCACATGACATGTTTTTCCGGTGGCAAAAAAGATCCCAACTTTTTTATTTACTTTGCGCCGCAAATCACGACATAGATTTCGTCTTATAGCTTAGCTTATAGATTATAGACAAAGGCTTTTGTTTACATACGCCATACATACCTCGCGAGATATAAATGAGGTAGCATAAAGTATTCGTTTAAAACATACAATTTTTATTGCTTAATAAATTCGGTCAACGAAGGCATTTAACCTTTTTAATAGACTCATCTAAACGTCAACGTTATTACGTATATACTTCACATTATTTTCATCAAGTGCTGTAATAATCGTTTCCTGAGTTTCTTCAGTCATCATCAACCAAGCCATTATCCACTGCAAGGTATTCATCATTTACTGAGGGATCTGTAAGCTCCATACTATTCAGAGCCAGCCATACCGTTATCGGAAAGGTTAAGCAATGAAATGCACACTCTTTTATATATTTGTTTTGAATTAAACGTCATCTGTTTGCTAAAGTTAAAGGGGCGCGTTGACCCGATTATGATTAACATTTCGGAATGTTGTACAGGACGTAAATAGAAATAACATAACAGTTTGTGTAATGCTAATAATAGATTATAGGGACGGGCAAGATCTAACGAGATAAATTTATATAGAAACACTATAGGGAAATCCGTCTTGCTGAACAGGTAGGGTATATCCGAGGTTGGGATATTAAAAGGTGAGTTACAAAAAGAGGTATGACTGTACTCTGCAGCTAACTTGAACAATCCATCCTGTCGTACGAACAACACTAGGTAATAATATGGCGTCGTTTGCGATAATTCAAATGACATCCGTCAAAATTTGTTGTTCAAAAAACTATATTGACATGTCGATTTTACAGGCATATCATTGTCACTTTTCCGATCTATGCCTTACTATATATGGCAAGTTCAATGAAGTTTACTATTTGAATGACAAGCCTCCTCGCAGCAATCAATCATGCCGTGCTAGTAATTGTGAATGTGTTAAACAAGTCAACCAAACCAACAATACCTGTTAAAATGATTTGTTTGTAAATTATGATGTATGCACAATATATTATTTACGATAGGGTATGCGCTTACGTTCAACCGTGAGATGAACCCATTGCTGTAACACATACATAGACCATGACTTTATTCGAATCAAATACACCAATAATTCTAATTATCGATGACTTATAGACATTTTCCATGATGCAATTGCTATTGTGAGCATCACATGCTGTGCAACAAACTACGTCATTTTAGGTTAGTATGCCAAATATAGACAATTGTCACCAACGTAATTAGCTACTTGAATCGCCACAGAGTTATTTTGTTATCCAAACATACAGTTCGCTAACTAAAAGTATTTACCATACATAGTTAAACAAGCGTTTAGATAGCAAAAAATTTGCTTCGGCAGTCCTAATAATGCATATTTCTCATCACAATAGCTGACGTTACGTAAATAAGAAAACAGCTTGAACTGGATTTTAGCGAGCTTGTTGTTAACGAAAGCTCTTCGTGACGGATATCGTTTATCCTTTGACACAGATTTTATGACACAAGCCAAACTAGCTCCTTGGCAGCCTTCATTTATTATGATTGGTGAATTCTCTGTTGAAGCAGGACTTGCATTGTATAAGTGAACGCGTTACCGACTGGAATAGAAGTGCAATATTGATAAACGATATAACATTTCTACAGTGGGATAGCATTCGCGTTTGCGTACGACATCTTGAAGTTGCATGCATAAGATAAAATACATAGTAACGCTGATAAGGAAAATCAATATTGTCGTTTTTGAGATTATTGATGTAGTTATAAAAGTGTCAGCTGTAGGGACGCCGACTTTGTTAAACAATAATATTTTTATCGTACTTATACTAACAAGAAAGTTGATCTTGGCAATACTGGACGAGTCATCTATTCCAAGTATGTAATAGCATAATGAATGATAATAAGGATAAGCCTCTAATAGTGATGCGATAGTCGTAATAGAATATTGTTCGCTCAAGCTCTTTGACGTATTCGATAAACCTGTTTGTTGTTTCAAGAATAGGATATGCAAACACAGTGAATCATTCAAAAACGATGTCTTTGTTGATTAAACGTTTCATAGGCTTACCATAACAATATCTTATTCTCTGTAATCACAGACTCGATGGAGCATTCATTTTTCTCATGCCAAGACAATAATATTTTCTCCTTACAACAGCTCCTGCATTTAATCGATCGCGAGAGTCTACTATTTTACTTAAAATAATCGACGTTCCATGCAATTACCAAAATAGAGTTAGGAAATTAATTTAAAATTTTTCTGATATACTTTAAAATACGCAAATTTGCACATTTTCGTTGGTCAGCGTTAAATGATGTAATCATATCATCACAGTTATTGCAATATTTGACTGGTACGGTTGTCCTGATCATCGTCATTCATATGAAAATGTATAATTTATTTTACAAGTTTAACCGAGTTTTATAGATGGCCGAAATATTGTCAGTTTATGTAATTTGAATCACATACTATTCTTACTAAAACTTGGTTCAATCCTGTTGTCTGGCGCATTGTTTTCGGTGGGTTTAAATCACTATGTCAGGCCCAAATGTTAATTAACTAAAGTTTGGGGTTTAAAAGTGTATATATATATATATATTATTATTATTATTACAGCAGTGTTGTTATAATTAGACATACCCATATGTGTAATGAGAACTGGTGCCGTCACTATGATTAATTACCACAAAAACCAACTTCTATTGACAGAAAGTAAAGCAAAATAACATTACCTTTATAACGGGTAAATCTGTTGTGTTGGTATTAATATTTCCTGACCGTATAGCCAAATTGCAGATGACCGATAAAAAAAGTGCGTTACGGTTTTCTCAGAAAGTTTTCTAAACATAGTTTATTTTGTTAATATTATTTGCGCTTAGTATAATATGGGAAAATTATTCTACTTGAAAGGGAAAATGGAGTGAATGATCATTAACGAATATTTAATATTGCGCATCGATTTTGGCTCAGACATATTGGGACGCAATGCCCAAATTTGGAAGTATTGGCATAAATTTTGTTAGTCTACATGCTAGAAAGCGGCCATTCTTCCAAGCTATATAATATTAATAATTATTATATATTATATACAAGTATAAGTATAAATGTATACCGAACGTTTAATTTAATTAAACGTATATGTAATAATTAACATTCACATTCCTATATTGCATTGCACAGGTTTAATGAATTTGTCCTTATTAAACAAATGTTCTTGGGAACGAAACCCACATTCTCTAATGCTCCCAGCGCATTACTCAGCCGATTGATCGTCTCGAATTCTTTGGCGATTACTTGATTTGCAAGAAACAAGAGAGGTCGATGCGTGCAACAACTGTCATTTCCCATCATCTCTCAACGTTCTATTCAGAATATCTACCAAGCCTTTTATTTACTCACACTATCCATATTCGGCTTTATTAATTTGAATAACACAAATAACATAGATTACAGTGGGAATGACGATCGTATATAAGACTACAGTCGGGATGTTTATTGCTCCGGTTTCCGCGTTATGCGTTCAACACAGACAGAGTCTGTAATACACCTGAGCTAAATTTGCACGTAAATTTCCAAGGAAAACCTGGTAATGTATATCAAGACGAATCTTTGTTCTTGCTCGAGAAATAAGAAGATATTGTGATATTGTTTGCACTGTTCTTGATTATAAGCTAGTAAATCTCATAATCCCGTTCTTTTATAAAGCGACCAAACTAAATGCAGTACGAGTAATAAGTTAATATTAATATGAAAGTTTCTATTCGTATACTGCTAAGTATCTTTTATAAATTAGTGTTAAGGGTTTAATACTGGGAAAGTTAGAGTTAATATCGCCAGCTTGATTATTGCATTTTATCTTGAACAATTAATTATTTTGACAATCGTCTCCCTGTACAACTTTACCCATCCGCAAAATTAATGCTCTTACTCATCAAAAGCAATGATTGCCAACTTGTTCATCGCACTTGAATTCCGAATAAATAGCCTATTCACGGTCCTCGTCAATCTGATAACACCATTCAACTTTACCCACATCATTTCCTACAAATAACATTGACACAAATCCATAGACATTTCACGTCTAATATCTCCGCAAACAAACCGTTTACTGATGTTTGCAGGTATATTACCGCTATGATCTGTGTTGTCCGAAAATCATGCGTTTTTTTCTTACAGGTCTGTACTACGTAAATTCTACCACTAGACATCTCACGTTGTACAATGCATAGTCAATTATCCCGTGACCAACTAAACCAATTTTCATTCTGTGCTAACCAAAAAGTACGCCTGTATAACTGTGTCTAACTTTCGAAATTTACAACTTTGGGTTCTGTCATTGTCAACTCGCATATTTAAGAGTCCTAATACCCATATACGCTATACATCAGTCTCAATATAATATAGTAACAAAAACCTGCGTAATTTTGTCAAATAAGATATGAATGCCTCAACAATAATTAAAAACAACCACCGAAAACTGTTTACCTCATATTTAATGTATTTGGATACGTACGTATAATAAAGAGTTTGTGAATGAGCCCATCGACTATGGCCATTGTCAAAAATACTATGTTCGGCTGGGTGTGTGCTACTAAAATCTGTGCCACAACATGATTTGATTACTATATAGAGCTAAAGAATGAGCAGAATTTCAAGTTGACAGTAACAGCGAAGCGATGACATTAATTGCCAAGGAATGGTTAGAAAAGAGTATTGAACGTGAATACATTCAATTCTATCCTTACGATGACTTAATTGATCAAGACTGCATAGGCTACGGTGAATTC